CAGTTCGAACAAGGCCAACAGGAAGGCAAAATAAACTCGAGTGTGGAATAAAGCCAGCTTCGGAGGTACAAAGTGGAGAAGCCGGCCAGGAACCTAACCACCGCCGCGTCCACGAGGTTGAGATCAAGTCAGGCGGGCAGGAATTTTCGTCTGTCGACGATGAGCACGTCAGCCAGTACGCTGACTTGCGACAGCCGATAAATGAACAGAGATCATACAAGCTCACCAAAGATCAATATTACGGTCAATCAATATCGATCAGGCTGGTCCAAGTTCGTGCGTCGAGCGCGGATATAATAACAGGCACGCGGCAAGGTTGCAACTGTCCCAGTGAACAGGAACAACTACCCAGTTACTCTGACGATGGAACCGAGAGAGTGTCCGAAACGTCAGTCTCAAAATGAATCGGTCCATGTCCTCGTACCTTCTTCTTCCTCTTCTTTGGTGGATGGTGAAAACGATATGATATCTGGACCTCGAATCTTCACGCATATTAGAATGTGATATTGTACGGCTGTCTTCTGAAAGTTTTTGAACGTAACACGTGTAAGGAACTGCTTTTTTAAGTCCACGCGGCATTTTTAAAGCTTCTCTCTTACCAACTAAACTCGTTCGCAAATAAGCCGTTACTGTTATGACATACGCTCATACAACTTATAGTGTGCGAGTAAACGTTAATGTGTACTCTTTTTCCTCTTGCGGACGACTACTTGATTTCCGCACACAAGCACGCTCAAGCGATTATTCAAATTTATTTATTTATCAATGCATTTTCTTAGACACTTTGCAATCAATATGCGTTCATATATATTTTCCTTAATAAAACCGAACTGAACTAAATTGCAAAATCCGACCAACTGAGTACCGGTTTCTACGGCATTCTGTGGGCTTGTGTCATCGCAACTTCTTTTCATTTTTTCAGAGATACGAGGCCCGCTTGAGGAAATGGAACAGTCCACGAATGATCTCACGAGCAAGCTGCAACAAGTGGTGAAGACTTTCACCAGCCTTACCAACCAGCTGTCTGCACACACTAAACGGCAACGTTTCTGCAGTTAGAAATACTAATACGACGATGACGACGAATGTGAACCATTTACTTACGCTGGCATTCGAATGCTACACTTCCCTTCATCTGAATTACAGCCCTGCGGGCTCTCATCCTCAAACCTTTGAAAATCATAATAGAGGTGTAATTATATAGATTTTCACCGCTCTAAAATTGGTCTTTTCTAAAAACATTTTGCGATACTCTGCAATTTAACATGCGTTTTCTCTTTGTTACATAAGGGCAGCTTGGCCAGTATAAGTCATGTTATACGACGGAGTAGACGGATACTTACCTGGCGAAAGTAGTTGGCAAGGTCCCTTCTTAAACCTTAGATTGGTTTACTTTGAAAGTATTTAAAAAACAAACTTGAGCAGTTCTGTTCCGAAGACTGGGACCCCTGAAGAAGTGGTCTATACTGAATATGACTGAAGTAATTATCCACAAGGGTCTGGTTGCTTCCGAAGTAGTGAGTTTGTGGACACTCCTTCCGATGCAGATGGTCGATTTGGTCATATTTGCGGTCTGCAAACATTGAAAAACCACTGCTTTCCACTAGCCTGGGAAGCTCCCATTCAACCACTGAGTGCCAGATATACTAAACAGCAAAACTTAAGGTGATTTCCTATGTTTTGGGAGAGCATATAGGGCGTCTCCCTTAGATCTGTTTGACGCAGCACACACTGCTTTCCTGCGAGCGGGGCGTTGACTAAAATGTAAGACCATCAACTCAGATGAGATCTATGGCGTACAACTCAAGCACCAAATAGAGGGCTTTTCAAACCGGACCTTTATCCACGATGTCAAAAATTGCAGTTATTGGCGATTATGGATTATGTTTTACTTCCTGGTGTTGTGAGTTTGTGAGCCTTATTTTATTCCTTTTGAATGGAGGATCTTTTTGCTGAAAAGGTTTGAATGATATTCTCAAAATAAAGTGTATCTCTCTCCTTCTTGCACCAATGAAAAATATGTAGGTTCTGTAGTGACTCACTTGGCCCAGACGCTCACGCGCAAACACTCACGGCTGCTAACGAGTGCAAATGCACTAATGCTGGCCTCTGGTGCAGTCGGTTATTGCTGAAAAGATGTTGGTGGAAGTCAAGTTTCTAATGGACGGGGGAGTTGTGGTCTCAGCAATCTCCGCAGGATTCAGTCTTTGTTTTTTTTTTCACGAAAGGCTTGATACAATCACAGTGATTTCTTTATCATGCGACCATACAGACTTATTGATGGGCCAGTGTTCGGTTATACAAGCTATAGGACATCGAGCTGTTTTTAGTCGTGTTTATGATGTAGTGTCTACTTCGAACTAAAGAAGTGCAATTTTTCGCTTGCACACCGGTCCATGTAGGGACTGATAACTTGAAGAACTTCAATGGAAACGTCAAGACTGTACACTCAACGGTACTGTTTACACGGCAACCTGTCACTCTTTTAAACGACTGACTGAAGTAAAACGGCAAAATCCATCTTTCAAAGGTAGAACCAGAACGACATTTAAGCGAATAGCAGGCACTGTCCATCATCTTTCAATAGAGGAATAAGCAACTCAGGATGTTTCTGACGTCAATAAATCCTGCCTCATCAAATACATACTTTTCATAAAGCACGGCTTGGTTAATTCCGCAAATCAGTGCTAGGGAACACTCCCTTTACTTCAAACTGTGGGCATAGTTCCATATATAAAAGCCGAACTAAAGGGTATCCATTCGAGACTCCATCTATTCCACCTGTTTGTCACTGCGTTCAAACTATGTCTATTGAGTTTGAATCAAAACTACTGACGACCTTTTCTGAGGTGAACAACTCATGGGATGGTTCTTAGTCATCCCCATCTGCACCAATTTGGTATGCTACGTGGCCAGCCTATTGTCGGCTAGAAGACCTTGCTCGTCCAAGATTACTTTTTAGTTGTCAATTGTTATAAGGTAACGGTCTGTTTCCAGTGCAGAACTTTGCAACACTTCTCCGAGGAGCAGCCGTTCGGTCCACTGCCCCTGATAACAACGTTCTAGGTGCAAAGGATCTACTGGTCATAGGTCGTGCCAAAGGGTCTAGGGAAATAGACCCTTAGACCCTTCGGCACGAGTGCGGCGTGAATGTATACGAGGGCGGTATTCTGTGCGTCGACGGGAGGAAGTTACAAGCCTTCATCAAAATCAATGGTCGAACTTACACACAAGCCTCCCCCCATTAGAATGCATTTCGTCTGATCTAAACAAGTGTTTTTCGCTCTGGGCATACGCGGGAAAAAATTTACCAAAGCA